TTCACCCATCAACATCCGTGTTATCGAGGGGGCAATGTCTTGCACAAATGTCTAGGAATGAAAGCCAGAAGATGAGAGCATATCTGCAGCGTGTAGTGAATGTTGAGAGAGTTGCATTCACACCTTTGGTCTTCAGTACCAATGGCCTGTGTGGACGCGAATGTCTGCGGGCTAAGAATTTGGTCGGCTCGATTGTTATGCATCATTCTGGCTTGCAGTATACATTGGTCATGAATCATTAATTTTAAGATGCAAGATCTCTTTCATTTTGGTCAGGTGGTTCGTCACCTGTTTCCGCGGTTTCCGAGCCTCATATTTGCGTAGGCGATCCGAAGTTTTGTCACTTCTGGATGAGTGCCGTCTACGGTCTTTGTAGACGCACCTTCCGGTTAATATCGACCTACTTTACAAGTAGGGATGGTCTGGAAATTTAGGCGGCTTTCCAAGTTGCGCTATTGCAAATAATGATCTGCTTTGATAGTAGTGACTGCTAATAATTGCCTGGGTTTGACTTTGGATTTTTCTTCAATCATCTTTCCGATCACATTATCATGGATTTTCAATAAAGTAACAATTACTTCTTTGAGTACACCGGCAGATCAATGGGTGGCTCTGCTGGTCCCTCCGGTGTAGACGCTGAGGGGTGGACCCGCATGCTGGCAGGTTATGGGTCGGCGTCTTACAATTTGTCCTCCGCGCTTGCTGCCTCAGCGCGCGTCCTTCCCACTACTGATTATAGCAATAAAAACTGCTTTATGGCAGTTTTCTAAAAAAAGTTATTGTGTTCTAGTCCATGGACCCCGTCTAAAAAGTAAGAAATTAACGAAATGTGATAGCCGAAAATTAAAATTTCACACAAAACCTCACAATAATCACGACACTTGTTTATTCCGACACTTGTACTTGTACAAGTACATGTACTGCGCCAACATGCTTGCATGTGAAAGAGCACCACGAGGGGAAAAGGTCGTCTCGCATCCTGTGTGTGATTATTGTGAGGTTTTGTGTGAAATTTTAATTTTCGGCTATCACATTTCGTTAATTTCTTACTTTTTAGACGGGGTCCATGGACTAGAACACAATAACTTTTTTTAGAAAACTGCCATAAAGCAGTTTTTATTGCTATAATTTCTTTTGTTTTTTAGGCTAAAGGATATTACCGGTATTATTATTATTTTATTTATTTTACTAGGGTGTTTCCCACAGACCTATGGTCTTCTTACGGGAGCCCCTAGAATATAAGCATGAACGAACAAATGGGCGATAATCTGTACAAGAGCGAACAGTGGAAGGCAGAATATTCCACAGATCAGAACCTATAATTGTGTCACCAAAGGAATGCCCTAAATGATGGCCTACATGTAGCGCCTCTAAATGTTATTATTATTATTTTATTTTACTAGGGTGTTTCCCACAGACCTATGGTCTTCTTACGGGAGCCCCTATGTACATGTACGTGCATCATATCAATTTCAATACCGTATTATACGCATTGATGTGCAAGCCTTTTCTTGCAGAAAATGGAACTAGTCTTGTATACATGTATTCATGTTCTTCTGCAGGGGAATCATATGAGTAGTGGCGGTGATACTTTTTTTTATACGCAGGTCATTCTGTGGATGTTGTAGAATTTCATGACTCTGTCATAAAATTGTCTTGTCTTTCAGAAAATTCAGATGTCCACACCCTAAATCACATTTACATAAGAATTGTAACCAGGTGCGTGCCGCAGATGTTTTTGTTGATTCTGTGTTTATAATTGTAGTCATGGGTTGTCGTGATAAGGTCATCCGGCATCATATTGTAGTGAAATCGTCATCCTGTTGATGTCGATAATAATTTTGGAAGCAGTTCAATGACTTCAAAGTGTTACAAGTCCACGATTGTCTAAAACAACACAGCAAAGTAGGAACAATAAACATGTATTAAAATGTAAACAAAATACATTGCTGAGTGCGACACCTCGTTCCAACAACTACACTGATCCTGAGGATACAAGGGGCAAGGATATAACGGTTGGAGGTACTGAGAGATAATCAAGGCACTCCATAATAATAACATGTTACACGTCTTTGGGGGAGTATGAATGATATCCAGTCAAACCTCTTTAGGACGAACATCAAGGGACCGATGGCATTTGCTCTGTGAGTTTGTCTTAACCCTATTTTATAACGAGTGAATACAATTATTTCTCCAATACTGCAATAGAGACACGAATAGATTTCTTCTACAGCGAAAGATTCTAAGCCAGACCAAACCATTGACTCGTCTTTTATGAAACAAATGAGTTACTGAACCTTTCTTTAGCAACATGACGGCAACTGAAACAACAACAGAGAAAATACGATACATGTACAGCACATTCTTGCAGGTACAACAAACAGGTTGCAGATCGTAATTCTTGCTCTACCGGCACGCAACTTTATTTGGGGCAGTGAAATCTCGGCGCTACTCACAAATCAAACAGCCCAGACTCGAGTAAACAAATCCAATCGTACGAGATTTTCACGAGACTGCACCCATTGGCTTGTTTCGTATGAAGCAAACAAGTCACTGAATGCATGAACCTCTCCATAATCGAGATTTTCCCTGATATGCGAATTTATTTTGCATACTAGTACTCGGCCAATGCGTCCTTGAACCTTCCCCTCCAGATTGGGAACTGCTAACGATGCTATGCCACTGCAAAATTCAGATTCTACCCCATGATCGGAGCACGGAATGCCGGAAGCAATCATGACCAGTGCCTTACTTGTAACGTACCAATGTACAATGAACATGAGTATTTCGACAACACATCGAAGCCTTACCGTCAAGAAGGTGAACTCGCGTTCTTCGCACACTGTAGACAAGGGCAACGAGATACGAATGGATCTGTTAAATCCGAATAAAATCAGCACACGTTTCCGTAAATGAAAGGGTGAGCATCAGCAAATGAATCGAAGGAAACTGGCCAACTCAGAGATCACCTGTCATTGGGTATTCCGTAAAAGGAGGCCTCGACAGCAGAAAAGCTAAATTTAGAAAAGAGATCCTGTCAGCTTTTCCATATTTATTGTATTCCACCTAAAATCAGCACACTTTTCGTAAATGAAAGAGTCAACACAAGCAAATGAATCAAAGGGAACTGGTCAACTCACCTGTCATTGAGTAATATTCCGTGAAAAGAGGTCTCAGCAGAGCTGAAGCGAAATAAGCCAGGACACGAAATATCCGAAACAGCTCATGCAAGAAGCAGTTCCAAAGAAGGAAGTTCCTCGCGCATGCACATCCGAAAACGGACTGCACTGCATGCAACACAATGTCTGCCGTGCACGTGCACAGCACGCGGCTACCACCCGTTGGTAGATCTAATACCCAGCACCTTACGTAGAAACTTACGTAGCCTAAGTGAAGTACCGAGCACCTTACGTAGAAACTTACGTAGCATAGCGGTGTCGTTTTTTCTGCCATGTGAACACAATAATAGAAAAGCTGACAGGATCGCTTTTATAAATATAGACCCATCGTGCACCAAGGCTCTGACAGCTGCTCGCCTAGTCCCTTTTGACAAACCCCCGGAGTGAGACCAAGAGTACATAACCCCCCAGAGTGTGCAACTCCCACATACCCTGTTGTCCCGACAGAATTTCAAGTTGACGTCATTATTTATGACGCAATGCTCCTTGCAGCAGTGATTTACAACAATGTGTACGGGTGTCAACGCATCACACGTTTTTCTTTGCAATAATTTGTACAGGATCGATCGGCTTCGGTCCACCACAGGTTCCGGATTCGTCTGATAATCCGTGTACAGTGCGCATTGCATCATCAAAATGACGTCAACTTGAAATTCTGTCGGGACAGCACCCATAGTGGAGTTGCACACTCTGGGGGGTTATGTACTCTTGGTGAGACCTATAGCTGCTGGGGAGGTTTCCAGGCGCATTATGTGTCGGGCGGTCATGAAAATTATCAAGAGCGACGTTAGGGACACCACTGAACCACGACAACTTTGCGTTGGCGTGCCCTCTGCTTGCGAGGCCTCAGTGCATGCCATGGATAGTCTGTTCAATCTTGACAGCACGGACGGCATATTATTACTCGTTGATGCATCCAATGCATTTAACCCATTAAAAACAGAGAAGCAGCACTGCATAACGTCCCCATTTTTTGCCCTGCTCTAGGCCAAGTCTTTAAAAACACGTAAAAAGTCCATCCCGCCTGTTTGTCACAGGTGGCGGCGAGATTCTTTCACGCGAGGGAACATTCCATGGGAACCTTTTAGCAGAGGCAATCTATGCGATAGCGATAATGCCTCACATTAATTATGTATCCACCCAATGTCGAAACACAACACAGATCTGGTATTCGGACGATGATTCGGGTGCTGATACTGTTAGAAATGTATTCGTTTATTGGTCCACACTTAGTGAAATCGGCCCAGAATATGGATGCTACCCCAATGCGTCAAAGACCGTCCTTCTTGTGAAGGAGGCACGTGCGGATGAGGCCCGTTTTTGCTTACACTATGCGCGACAGGGTTGTCTGGCGCGCCAAGGCGCTTGACTCTGGAATGCGTTGGCGAGCGAGGTGCAGTCTAGTTGCCCTTATGTAATACACCTCAAACAGCCTCATCTCCGCGGAAACACCCCCCTGATTTTTTTGTGGAGTAACATGGGATGATACAGAGCACACTCATCCACAAAAAGGAGGCGGTTTATGAAGAAACAAACCACCCCCAAAGGGTTGGAGCCTCCTTAAATACGAGCCCAAAGCACTGGATTAAAAGTCCTTGAGGACACTTTTATACATATTGCGGATATTCATCGCGCGTAGTGTAAACAAAAAAAAACAACAGAAACAGAATAAAAAATATTGGTGGGTGGAAATGCCAACAAATGGACGATGTGATGGCACGGGTTGCTTGTGATTACGTCGAAGTATGAAATTTAGCCCTTGAAAACTGCTGCACATTTGAAACAGGGACAAACAACACTGTCGACTGGCGTGCTTGAGAATTACAGGAAGAATTGATACCCTAGCTCACACGGCTACAAACGGTGCATAGCAATACGGGGGAAGAGAAAGCACAGGAAAGGTTATAATTATGTCCATGTGCGTTTAATCAAAGCGGTGGCTCAGCGAACGCAAACGACAACCTTGACAACGTGATCACCGGCTGGCACCCAATCCTGTTTATTAGGGCTAAAATTACCACCGCTGTATATATAACCTTGGTTTTCAAAAGTGAAAAAAGCGGTGCCAGTGGGGATGTGTTCCATTACTTCACCTAGACATGTTACTTGTGCGGTCGCAAGCCTATCAGGCAACCGCATGCCGCGTTCCAAGCAGGTTTCATTGGCAACCTTGAAGGTGACACTTATGGGCATGACGGCCACGCCGTTCAAAATGGCGCAAGTGGTATCTAAGCAAACATAAACATACACAAATACCCAATTACATGCATTCAGATACGCACATACGCACATACACACATACACACATACACACACACACGTAGAAACGCAAAGACACAAACAGACGCTGAAACGGACAAAGTGAACCAGAGAACAGTGGCTAATGTGCTGATGTGCTACGCAAGATCGTGGCAGGACGTACGGCGATTGTGTGTTTCGTTTGTTTTGTACATGGACGTACATACGCTCTCGCTTTCTTTCTATATTAGGCAAGGTTCGCCCCTTGTAAACTGTTCTGACGATGGGTGACTGGCCCGAAACGTCAATAATATTTCGACATCATTAATAAAAGAATTGAGCGGTTGTCAGTTGACAAACCCCCTTTTATTTAAAATAGTAAATGTAGAGCCGACGGATTTACGTACTATTATAAAAACCGAGGCGAAACAGACGATAATATTTATTGAAGTAAAATAGTCTGATGATCAGCAAGCAACAGGTTCCACAAAATCTTAAGAAGCACTTCCATAGACAAGACAGGACACTAACTTACAAGAAATCGCTGAGTCGCAGATCGCATTCCACGCACAAACACAAGAACACACAGAACATGTTAGTTGCAGTTGTGAGTAATAAAAAACAGACCTAAATGCGTTCCAGTATGTATTGCATAATTTGTTTATTAAATGGACCAGTCGGGGAAGTGAACTGGCCGAAAATTTGAAACAAATTCCAGACCCACTAGGACACGAACCCGGGACATTGCTTGTCCTGAGCAATGCTCTACAATCCGATCTATGGGGACATGCTGACTGAAGCCTGGACCTGACCGAACCTTGTTTATGAAACTGGAAGCCTGCCCACTTTTACATAAATCTGAATTTATGCATGATCAATTTTGTGACGAGAGAGCTTGGAAGCTCAGGGCCCTGCGCTATGCTTTGTTGCCTAGCACATCGTGCATGTTGTTAGAACTGATGAAAATGCTTTTTCCTTTGATTAGCTACATCATTGTATTGCAAAAACGTTTCAATGAGATACTGAAGTAACGTCTTCTGCATAGCTATGGGACCGGCGCTGACTCTGCCGATCAAGGGCGTTCTGGAGTCGACGGGATGTCTGTCCTGACGTTTCCTGGGACCGGCGCTGACTCTGCCGATCACGGGCGTTCTTCTTCTTCTATTAGAGGTTAAGTTACACGTTGTTTGCCCTTTTTCAAAACGTGGTGCAAATCTCACGTTACGTGTAACTTTTAGAGGTTAAGTTACACGTGCGACGTGACGTGAAATTTTGCCTGGCAGGATTCGGGTTTAGTTCGCACAAATATCAAATCTTCCAACAAACTCGATAAAATTCCGGAAACTCACACAAATTCGGTCGGAATAACCAAGCGAAACTTCCAAAAACTCACGTCATGAACTTACGTGCGGTACAGTCAACTCACGTAAAACACGTCAAATTTTACGTGAGTTTTTTCACTTTTGACGTAAAAGTTCACGGACGTAAGACTTTTACGTGAAACTTAAAATCTCTATTATTATTATACTGACGGAAACTAACATCTATTCTGATTGCATTAATTTTACTCGTCTCCCTACTTCGTATTTCTTTCCAGAAAATCTCCGCATACAGCAGGGAGTCGTTTACATAATATGACTCCCTGCTATACATCTACATGACTGTATATGTGTATGTACATGACTGTATATACGTTATACGTTATACGTTATAATTATTATGCTATCGGCCTACATGCGATTCCCGGGCTGGTCGACAAGTGGCCCAGCCAGCCTGCTAGTGGGATCTCGGCCTCGCACACAAATCCACACAAAATGTTACTGCACTGAATGCATTCCCCCGATACACTTCGCATATATACTCATTCTCTTGATGGTACCGTACTCTTGATGGTACGGGACAGGTACGGGATAACGCCAGGCATGCATATGCATGTCGATGGCACAAACAAACAAAAATATTGTGGCCAGCTGTCTTTGCTGGTACGGTACACTGGTACGGTACAGTACAGGATAGATACGGGATAGCGCCAGGCGTTACACAAACAAACAAACACACAAACAAACAAACACCAAATTAAAGCTGTGTGGACCCTGGCTAGCGCCAGACGTTACTGAAGTAACGTCTTCTGCATAGCTACGGGAATAAATGTCTCTGGAGACTGGTCTTGGCGGAGAGTACGGGCATTTGTGACTGCAGGAATTTATGACATGGCCTGTGACTGGTAACAGCACGTCCAAGATATTTTCATCATAATCCTTTATTCACCACAAGAGGTAGCGAACTTACGGGTGCACATGGGCATTTCAGGCAATGTCCAGCCAGTTGTCGGATCACAGTAGGCCAGTTTGTTGGGAAGAGTTACCGTACCAGCGGTGCACACTGCTGTTGTGTAATGTCCACTGTATGCGGCTTGAAAATATGCACTCTCGAGTCTGATTTTCAGGCATTGAACTGCAGAGGTGAAGAAAAACAACAGCAGGTCTTGCCTAGGGCTCTCTAATGGCCACAGCTCATTCGATCATAGTTTGCAAACTAATCATCTCCTCCGATGCAAGCGTACCTTTACTTTTACGCTACTGGCGTACACTGGTTAGAACGCTTCCCCAAATTTCCCACATCCAACAAAGCAGTGTAAAGTAAAAAGTCAGAATGACGCGTGATGTTCATTTTTCAGTGAGAACCGGTGAAAAGGCAATCATGCCTGTGAAGTAAAATAGAAGTCAACAACAACATGGATCAAGAATTTTCTTTTTCCATTGTAACGTACAAACGAACTACCTTTTAACGTAGTTCGTTCGTACGTAAAAATCGTTTTGAGGGACATTGCCTTGGATGTACAGCGCTAAAATATCACCAACAGGTACCATTGACATATTCTTCATTCCTGTTTGCCTTAAACGAAGACTAGCCAAACTTGCTTGGTGTTGTCAACGGGGTCAAATTCCCCCGATATAATACGTTACGGCCATGTTTCTGTAGCTGTGCTGGAACTGCTCTATTTCGCAGCCACTATTTACCATTAGCCATGTCGCCCCCCCCCCTCCTCCACCCTACACAGTGGGTCCATTGTTATTAGGCATCTGCCTGTTTCTCCACTATAAAATTTATAAAATACTACTGCCATGGAGATAGAGGAACGTACATTACCGACATAATAGTGTAACAAGAAGGAGCCACTAGTGTGTGGAATCCGCGGTAGCAACATCGGCAGGGTACAGTATCGGAAAGACAGATGTTCTGGGATCGAATCCTGCTCGTGGAACAAGGGAACTAATAATTGCATGTGGTTAAGTGGAATCATGCGACACATGTGAAACCAATCTACACATACATGCATGGACATTGGTTAAATAAAAAACCTTGGTAGGAGTGTACAGTATACTAATGTTACCCTGTACGATCAATAGGTGTGTAACAATCAATAAGGGGTATAACACCCGCCTACTTACACACTGTGCTGGTACCATCGGGACCTGGGAACAAAGGAAGGACAGAAGGACAGAGCAGAGTACCAGTTACGCAGTGGAGGTGGATACAAGATTTTCACTGAACAATTAAAATTATATCAACACGGGATTATGCCACTAAGAGTCCGTAATGAATACGGGTACCGGTAGTATTGAACTGTTCCTTTGGTCCAATGCAGTACGCCCTGTAGTCTCGCGCCCAAACGGATAATTTCTACCACTGGTATATCCAATTTCTAATAGAAAACTGGGATTTCCGTTCAAGGTCGGAGTGCGTATTGTTAAGAAAAGATAGCTTCATAACATCTAAGTCATTTAGAAACCAGCAATATTTGACCATATCATGTTAGGACAAGCAGTCCTCAGTTAAAGAAAGAGTATGATATAGCAAGAAAACGGACAGACGGAAAGAGAGACAGAGACGCAGAAAGGACCTCGAGGCACAGATAGAAGCAGATAGAGGAAATGAGACGAACGGAACAGAAAATAGAAGGAGGCGTTAATGAAAGAGAGAGAGAGAGAGAGAGAGAGAGAGAGAGAGAGAGAGAGAGAGAGATAGAGAGCGAGAGAGCGAGAGAGCGAGAGAGCGAGAGAGCGAGAGAGCGAGAGAGCGAGAGAGAGAGAGAGAGAGAGAGAGAGAGAGAGAGAGAGAGAGAGAGAGAGAGAGAGAGAGAGAGAGAGAAAGAGAGAGAGCGAGAGAGAGAGATAGAGAGAGAGAGATAAATAGAGAGATAGAGATAATTAGAGAGAGAGAGAGAGAGATGGAGAGGGAGAGAGAGACAGACAGAAAAACAAACAGACAGACAGAGACAAAAAGAGACAGACAGACAGACAGGATGACGAGAAACAGAAGAAACCTATCTTGGTATTATTAAACTTACCAACATGACGTGTCACTGCGCTGTTAATACCTGCAGATGAAGAAAAATATCCAGGATCCATTAATAAACCCTCATTCCGCGGTCTGGGGTCCGTTTTCATTCCGCGGTCTGGGGTCCAAACGGACCCCAGGGGTATGATTTTTGAAATATTTTTACTTTGCTGCATCCAGAGAGTTCTTTATGATTCCTGCTCTATATTCCTGTTCTATAATTTACTTTATGTTAAACGCCAAAAGTAACTGCATCTCTCCTACTTCGTTCATGTACATACCCATGACTGGTTAGTTGTTTTCTGTACCTGATCTTGTGCCAGTGGTTGTGAGGTTTATCCACTCACCCCCACCGTTAGGCGCTGCATCTGCCGCTAGGGTTTACCGGGTGTTAGCAGCCGTCGTGAGTTCCCTTTGGGAACGGACACGATAAGCAGGGAGTGTTTTCCAGCGATCTGCACCTAAGAAGCGTAATGCGTATAAGCAAGAGTACATAAACCCTTTTTTGGTTTATGTACTCTTGGTACAGGCCATAGCCGAATTCAGAGAAGATAGAAGAACACTTCTCGAACTTTCCCGGGAGTCTTGATCTTTTCGGTGAGTATTTGAGAACGTACCCTAAATCCTAATGACAGCAGCAAAAGTTCGCAACAAACAAGTTCACAACAACAGAGAGAGGTAGTTTCTGGATGTCCTCATGCCAGTAGGCTAATGGTGAAAGTACTTACTCTGGCACGCTTGTCCCTGTGGGATGGTCCAGCCATTATCGGTGCAAGTTGCCTTGTCGTACGTGACAATACTGTATCCACTATCACACATAACCTCTGCAGACGATCCTGAGCGTGTAGCCGGAAAATGGCCATTCTGGACTTCGTACAAAGCGCACGTGGCTAGAAAAGCAAAAACAATGTATATAAACGTACTTGGTCCCAAAAGAACAAGAAATGGATATGAAGACCTAATTCCTTTGTGTGCAAATTTGATTTCTTTCGCTAGCAGGATAACACCAACACCAATTATAGCAACACAGCTCAATTGCCCTTGGCACATACTAGGCATGGGCGGATAATGCTAGCATAGACAGGTTGCCAAAGTCGCCTCCGGAGATCCGTACCCGAGATGGCCCTGGAGACCGCGGAGCTCGGAATCGATTTTTCGGGGCAAAGAGACACATGGATTGATGTGTTTGTGTGTTTTGTTTTGCTTGTGACATGACTTGCGTTTCCTTCCTTTTAGTGTATTGGTAGTTGTTTGTTGCTGCCGACTTCTAGTAGTAGTGTAGGAATAGAGTAGGACTTGTAGTAGTAGCAACGATAGTGTGGATAGTCGCATGGATCATGCTGTGACAATATCATTGTCTGAAGCGGATGATGATGCTGTAGTCAGTGCATTTTGTTGGGCAAGCCAGACGAAGGATAAAAAAACACAAGGTGTTCCTGGCCATCAACTGCAATAACTTCGACCTGCTGCTTGGTTTCTTGGCATTGGCATTGGCTTTTTTGGGCTTAGACTTCGGACATTTTCTCAACGGTCTCTTTTCTGGAGCTTTCCTACACAAAGGATACGACTTGTGAGAGAAATATACCGAATATGGTTGGTCCTTGGATTTCTCCTCGTTGTGGAAATGCTTGTAGCACAAGCAAGTGTCCTTGGATGGCACCAGATCTTTTCTATTGATTCTTGTGAGCCAAATGGTTCGCACTGTCGGCTTACGAGGGATAAGAAATTTGATCTTCTTTCCTTTCACTCTCCTTGTCGAGCAACGCACGGCACAACAGTGATCATTCTGACCCATCCCCAGTTGCTACAAATAACTGTACCAAAGGGAATGAAACACACATCTAAAGGTAAAAAGGAAAAACAACCTGATGTGTATCTATATTCATTACGTCATAGTTGTACTGCATGCACGCACACACACAGATTAGTTGAGTGTGCTTCTTTTTCCTGTTGTTCTTTCTCATGACATGTTTTGTTTCTGTTCCCAAGTCTTCACGAATAAATAGTAACGTATCATGGCGCAGTGAACTTGTTCTTTCCTGTGTCCGTGCCTTGTGTCCGCACCTTGTAGTGTTTGCACGGGCCCAGTTGTTTTTTTCCGTATGAAGTAGTAGTTTCCGCGATCGAAACTCTGTCTCAGTTGAATTATTTTAGTAGTGTATTTGTTCGTACTCGTGGACGAGTGACTAATCGTAATGGAACAATCACAGGACGATACCGGATTTGACCTGTCCTCCGCGACCGAGCGACAGCAGGAATCTCAAATGGGTGTCCTGATGAAATTTATGGAGCAGCAGATGCGTGCAGCTGAGGCTCGTGATAAGGCGATGCAAGATCTGTTCAAGAATGTTCAGAGCAGGTCGCTATCACCATCGCAGCCTCAGTTCACTCCGCAGCCCTCAGCACCAGCTCTGTCCACCTCGCAGACCTCAGCACCACGGCCAGTGAACAGTGTGTCCTGCCCACACTTATTGTCGTCTGCGACGCTGGCTGATTTTCACTCCTTCGTTGAAAGCTGGAGAGATTTTAGTGTTTGCCAGCATTTGGCCAGCCAGGCTCGTGAGGCCAGAGTGGCAACACTCCGTCAGTGTTTCGATGAGGAGCTGCGACGTTTTATCCGAGAGGATATTATTTGCATACCAGCTTCAGCTGACGTTGACCTGATGCTGGAGCGCATTCAGGTGTATATCAGACGGCAACGTAACCCACTGTTGGACCGCATAGAGTTTTACCAGCGTGTCCAGCAAGCTGGAGAATCATTTGATGCGTTTTACACAGCCCTGTGTGAACTACAAAGTGCATGCGACTTCTTGTCACACAGCCTATGTGGAACGTGTGATGCTCGCTGCTGTGCGCAGTGCAAAGGCCTCGGCCGTACCCTCAAGGAGGAATCTCTGCGCGACCGCGTCGTCATTGGTGTGCGGAACGATGAGACGCGACACAAGTTGCTCGCAACTCATGGTCTCACGCTTGACCAGGCTGTCACCCTCTGTCGGACGGAGGAAGCAGCATACCACACCAAGGCACACATGCCCAGTCCTGGCCTCCAGGCAAGTGCTGCCAAGCAGTCGGCGTACAAGCAGCAGAAACGTCACAAGCCAGCTGACTCTAAGTCAAGTGCGACCAAGTCCACTTGTCCAAATTGTGGTCGTTCTGACCACACGAAATCTGTATGTCCTGCCAAGGGCAAGAAGTGCAACTCCTGTCATGGCATTGGGCATTTTCAGCGAATGTGCAAGAGCCAGAAACAGCCGAAGACTAGCTCTGCTGCCAAGCTTGGACAGCTGAAGCTACAGCGTGCGTCTCGCGTGGACCGTCGCACAGTACCTGTTTCGACCATGCTGCAAACAGAGGATCAGCCATCCCAACTGTCCTGGACACCAGACACAGGCAGCGACGTTGATGCCATTGGTGAGGAGCACCTCACGCAGATCGGTGGGTTCGTCGAGAACTTAGATGACGACCACGACTGTGTGCAGGCTGTGACCGGTGAGCCGCTACGCAACCTGGGCAAGATACGTGCGACTCTACGAGTCGGTGAGACGCAGCATGAAACCGTCATCCATGTGTACAAGGGTCTACACGATGCCCTGCTCTCTCATACCTCATTGCGTGCGCTGAAGTTTCTCCCACCTGATTGGCCAGTCCAATTCACCGCTGAACACGAGGGTGCATCTTCACCCAAGATCTGTGCAGCTGTTTCGTCATGCGCTCATCCTAGTGATGCTGAGTTAGCGCGAACACGTGAGCAGCTCCTGCAAGAGTTCGCTGACGTTTTCTCGGATTCCGGTCTGAAGCCAATGGAAGGTCCGCCAATGGAAATTGAGCTACAGCATGATTCTAAGCCTTCCTGTGTGCACACTGCTCGACCAATACCGTATGCATTCCGTGACCAGATCAAGACTCAGCTCGACGGCATGGTCAGCGACGGGATTATTGAACCAGTGACGGAGCCCAGTGAATGGTGCCATCCGATTGTCATAGTAGACAAGAAGGGCAGCACTGAGAAGCGCCTCACAGTTGACTTCAAGCGGCTGAACGACCAAGTCCGTCGTCCCGCGCATCCCGTACATACGGCACGTGACGTTGTCTCTGGAGTTGGCTCTGCTAAGTTCTTTACGAAGCTCGATGCAAGGCACGGCTACTGGCAGATTCCTCTCAGTGACACTGCTCAGGAATTCACCACGTTTATCACCCCGTACGGCAGATATCGTTATCTACGGAACCCGCAGGGTCTAATATCTGCTGGGGATGAGTTCAACCGGCGCACTGATGCTGCGTTCTCTGCCATCCCGCGTCTCGGCAAGGTAGTCGATGATTGCCTAGCGTACGACGACGACTTTCTGTCGCATGTCAGCCACGTGCGCGAGATTCTGCTCTGCGCCAGGGAGCATGGTATCACGTTCAGCCCCGCCAAGTTTGTGTTCGGTACGCAACGTATCCATTTCTGCGGCTACAACGTCACGCCTGATGGCTGGGTCGTCGACGATGATAAGACGTCCGGTATTCGCCAGTTTCCAGTACCCGCCAACAGAACCGATCTCCGTTCGTTCCTCGGTCTAGTGAACCAATGTGGCGAGTTCACTCCACATCTAGCCGAGTTGACCAATCCTCTGCGTGGCCTGCTCAAGACCTCCCGTGAGTTCATGTGGGACGCTAGCCACACTGCAGCGTTTGAACGGACGCAGGAAGCTCTCTTGTCTCCTCCGGTTCTCGCTTTCTATCAAGTTGGTCAAGACCTCCGGCTTGAAACCGATGCATCCGCTCTAAGAGGTCTCGGATTCGTGCTTTGGCAAAAGCAGAATGATCAGTGGCGTATTATTCAGTGTGGATCCCGCTACCTGTCTGATGCTGAAACACGTTATGCTGTCATCGAGTTGGAAATGCTCGCTGTAGTATGGGCCGTGCGCAAATGCCGCATCTACCTGTCTGGTGCGCCATTTGAAGTCGTCACCGACCACAAGCCCCTGATTCCGATCATCAACTCATATTCGTTGGATCAGATCGAGAACCCGCGTCTTCTACGATTACGCCTCAAGCTCCAAGCCTATCAGCTGCAGGCATCTTGGCGAAAAGGTTCTGAAAATGCCTTCGCCGATGCGCTGTCCCGGAATCCTGTTGGCATTCCTTCCACCACTGATGAGCTTGGTGAAGCCCCGTCGCTTCATTGCCGCAGCATTCAGATCTGCATGGTGCACTCGGACACTGAGCCGAATGCGAATCTCAAGGTTGCAGAGCTGCGGGAAGCTGCAGCTGCAGATGCCACGTACCAGTCATTGATTGAGTGTATCTTGACTGGATTCCCTGATCGCCAGCAGAAGTTGCCTGCTCCGTTACGTGCGTACTGGAATGGACGTGAGCATCTCTCCGTCGACCATGGCATTGTGTTGAAGGGCAACCGCATTGTTGTTCCTGAATCATTGCGTGCTCAGGTATTGCACAACCTCCACGCTTCACACCAAGGCCTAGTGCGTACTAAGTCTCGTGCGCGTCAGCTTGTATACTGGTCCGGTATCACCAAGGACATTGATACACTCGTTCGTTCTTGTCCTGCTTGCCGCGAACACCAGTCGTCCCAGCCAGCTGAGCCCCTGCTGAACGACCGAACCCCAACACTCCCGTTTGAATGTGCATCTGCCGATTTGTTCACTTGTCAAGGTCACGACTTTCTTGTGTATGCAGATCGTTTGACCGGTTGGCCCTGTGTCGCGCGTACTGGCCGCACCACCTCATCGCATGACGTGATACTCGCATTCCGTCGCTGGTTCTCTGATGTTGGTGTTCCTGCTGTGCTGTGTACAGATGGTGGTCCCCAGTTCTCCTCGCATAAGTTTGCTGAGTTTTGTAAGCGCTGGCAGGTAAACCATGTCATGTCCTCTCCCCACTACCCGCAGAGTAATGGGCACGCCGAAGCTGCTGTCAAAGCCATGAAGCGTCTTATCACCAAGACAACCGTGAATGGCAATCTTGACACAGATGACTTCCGCCGAGGGCTACTGGAATGGCGAAACACACCTGGCTCCTCTGGTCAGAGCCCCGCTGAGCTCCTATATGGCCGCTCTCTCCAGTCATTCGTCATTGCACATTGGAAGGAGTTTGATTCATCCTGGCTCTCCAAAGCGACGACACGTGATGAGACTGCCATGCCATCCGACGATGCCGTCACAGACAAGTCGTCAACTCGTCGCTCGTTGCCGCAGCTCCGCCTCGGCACCCACGTGGATGTTCAGCATCCGCGCACCAAGCAGTGGTCTATTCGTGGGATCATTGTTGCTGTCGGTAATCATCGGGACTACCTAGTGAAGTTGCCGAGTGGTCGCATTTATTGGCGGAACCGCAGATTCCTGCGTCCGTATCGCCCACTTGTGCCTGCACCGCTTGTTGTCCAACCGGCTGCTGCTGACGCCTCTTCCCCGCCGCCGCCGTCCCGCCGCAGCGCACGTCAGCGCAAGCCACCCCAGCGTTTAAACATTGGTTCGCATCATGGACAGTCCTATGATTGACACTCTTGATCACTAATGTCAATTTCTGCTGTCTCTGCTTTGTTGTTTTCATTCTTCATTTTGTTTTATTTATGATAGATGTTGCTGTCACAGGTTTCGCAACATCTCGAAGGGGCGTGATGTGTATCTATATTCATTACGTCATAGTTGTACTGCATGCACGCACACACACAGATTAGTTGAGTGTGCTTCTTTTTCCTGTTGTTCTTTCTCATGACATGTTTTGTTTCTGTTCCCAAGTCTTCACGAATAAATAGTAACGTATCACAACCTGTCGCTCTGCCCCGAAATATCGATTCAAACATCCGTGTTCTCCAGAGCCACCTCCGGAACTGATCCCCGGAGGCGATTTTGGTAACCCTTAGCATTATAGTGCGCGACTTGCAACGAGCATTATGCTAGCAGTATAACACTACATTTCCACAAAAGTTGCATTATACTCAAATATGGAAGTTTTGGCCATTACAAAAAAATGGACTGTAACATGCCTTGTACATAGAACTGCACAACCTGCATAGGATTGTCCAAACTAAGCCATTTTCCATGCATACTATATCAGTTTTTGCTGGCATTATGGAGCAATAGCAGCATAAAATTAGCATTATGATTATGATTTTCTAGCATTTTCCATGCCGTCTACGTAGAACTACGAAACGTGCCCCATGCTGCCCAAACTAAGCCATTTTTCCATACTTACTAGCCATTGGCGGACTATGCTCGGCCAATCGTTAAATTATGCTTTTGATTATGCCACAATTATGACAACAAATATGCTGAATTATGCTGAATTATGCTCGGTTCCACTATGTGCACGCTGTACATAGAGGATTGAGAAGCCACGCATACACACACGGCCATGCCCTAAGCATAATTTTTGTCTAAACCGAAAGATTATGCCGACCGTACACTAGGCCTTGGCGGATAATGCTCGAAAAGGTGGCAGATTCTGCTTTTTTTGCACCGAAATTGGCAGAACCATACAAACCTTATGGCGGGCAATTCCTCGAATTCTGCTCCATTTCTTTATCCACATACCAAACATGCATGAAACGTACCAGAAAAAGTACCGAATTCTGCCAATTTTTCTGCCGGCATTATCCGCCAAGGCCTACCGTACACGTTGGAATCCGTATATTATGCCGGAGCATAATGTTTTGACGAAATCCCAAGATTATGCCAAATATTATGCCGGCATAATCCTCCAAGGGCTTACGATAGCGAGTCGTAACTGGGGTTACAGGGCTGGGGGCCTGGGGCGGTACAACATTTTGGGGAAATTTTTGACTGCATTTTTGAGTTTATCGGCAAGGCAGAGATGAAATTTGAAAATGTTTTCTGGTGAATCTCTGGAGAATAGCCTTCTCTAGCTTCCTATAGTTTTATTCCCGTAGCTATGCAGAAGACGTTACTTCAGTAACGTCTGGCGCTAGCCAGGGTCCACACAGCTTTAATTTAGTGTTTGTGTGTTTGTGTGTTTGTGTCACGCCTGGCGCTATCCGTATCTGACGGCAAAAAAGCATAGGATGTTATAAATTTTTCAATTCTCCTTTTTTTCAGGCATGTCCTGGGATTCGAACCCGCACTATCACCCTACATGCATTCTCCCATACACTTCGCATTCATACTCATTCTTCCAAGTAGCTTCACGTTATTATCTTGCGTTTGAAAGCCCTATTTGAATATTGCGGGCAGCTTTATGTGGCCAGCTGTGTTTGATGGTACGGTGCGGTACGGGAGACGGTGTCGTATTACCCTCGATCGTACCTGTCCCGTACCTATCCCCTACCGTACCATCAAAGACGGCTGGCCACAATGCATACTGTATTCAAATAGGGCTTTCAAATACAAGATCACAATGTGAAACAAGTTGGAAGAATTAGTATGTATGCGAAGTGTATCGGGGGATGCATGCAGGGCGCGCGATAGTGCGGGTTCGAATCCCAGGTTATGTCTTAAAAAAAGGATTTTTTTAAAGAATTTATAACAGCCCTATGCTTTTTTTTTTGTCTAGGTCATCAAGGCAAAAAAGCATAGCGTAGGGCCCTGAGCTTTCAAGCTCTCTCGTTTTTACTTTTGTCAAAATTTAAAAAGGTTTTATGAAAGGTAATTTTTTCACGGACCTTTAATAAAAAAATTCATCTCCACCTTGCCGATAATCTCAAAAATGCAGTCAAAATGTGATCAGAATGACCCCGAAAAAGTTGTACCGCCCCAGCCACCTTAAAAAAACATCTTCAGGCTTTCTGACAAAGCTGTATTATGCCCCTAAGCATAATTATTGTCTAAACCGAAAGACTATGCCGACCTTACACGTTGTAATCCGTATATTATGCAGGAGCATAATTTTTGGACGAAATCCCAAGATTATGCCAAATATTATGCCGACATAATCCGCCAAGGGCTAATACTTACTACTGGTGAATTGCTGGCGTTACAGAGGAACAGCAGCATTATGACAGTTTTTCTGGCATTCCCATTAGCATTATCCCGCAAAATAACTAGCATTATCCGCCCAGGCCTAGCACATACTGCCCATCAAAGATAAGCAGAATTTAGTACGTTATTTTTTACTACCTTTGATGATACAACAAAACTCTACTCCTCCGTGTAGTACTCACACCAATAATGCTAAACAACGACGGCGTACTGGGTGAATTTTACTTCTAACGGCTGTCTCGCTGTCAAAAGCTTGTCAGAGATTGTGATAGTAGTGCGTGATACTGGATATTGTAACTGACATTTCAAAAACTCTAGAATGTTAAATTTTATATACTCAGATGGTTAGCCAAGGAACAATAATTATTGTAACATGGAAATTGTGGGCAGAAGTTCTGCGATCGAGTCCACCAACTAAACCATATTTTGAACAGTCAGACGTGCACAATCTAGCAGAAAACTGAGAAGGAGTACTGAGATATTCCACGGCATGAAAGTCAGTTTAGTTGGTGGATTCGATCGCATAACTTGTGCCCACAATTTTAATGTTTCAAACATTTTATACAATTTTAGTTTGGTATGTGGATTAAGCAATTGAGCAGACTTCAAAAAAAGTGTCTGCCATAAGTGGTGTACGGTTCTGCCAATTTCATTCCTCTTCGAGCAGAATCTGAAAATATTTCGAGCATTATCCGCCAAAGGCCGCAGCACAACCCACCACCGAAGTCGCCACCCCGCAAAAACAGAATCATACACAGTATAATTATGCTGGTTTACTCACCGGTGTCTTCTGTTCCAGGACCAACTGCGAGAAAAGAGAAAGAAAAACCGGAAGAATTGTCCTATTACAAGCCATATCCTCGTCTGCTGCTGCAAATAACTATGTCAATCACTAATCGGTCATCACTTTGCTTGGAAGCGTTATCTCCGCGAATCTTTTGGAGTAATATGGAGTAATATGGAGTAACATTAAGTAGGTAACGCTCACTTTGGTCATGGATAACAATCCATCCATCTTTTAGCTTGTTGCTATGTCACACATTTAAAAACTGCCATGGTGAGGCTAGAACATCAGTACAGCTAGATAAACGTTTGATACTCATGCGTAGAATACAGACTGATGTCAAACATTCCATGGATCTGCCAGAACCAGACAAACACAGGTGCAACGTCTTCTTCGATTTCAGAAAAGGCTTGGTAGGCTAAGAACTAGCAGGACACAATGAAGACCACGGACTGTGGGTTTGGAATTTTCAAAGTGGAGAACTAGGCAAGCTAACAGCGCTACATGTCCGCTGAGAATTAAGGCTACTTCTTACGTTGGCAAATTAGTCCCTGTGGGATGTTCCAGCCATTGAATTCATTGGCACATTGTGCTTCCTTGTTCGGAACAGCACTGTATCCGAGGCTACACACTGGTTGTGCAGATAACTCTGCGTGTGTTGCTGGGAAAAATCCATGATCAAACTGATACACTGGGCACGAGACTAGAAATCCAAGAAAGCAATCCAAAGTTACACATGACACATGTAAATATCTAGTCGACATAAAAGCGCAAGAAGAGTAATGTCACGGTCGAAAGGGCTGCGGAAGTGTAATGTTTTCATATAAAGCAATAATAACAACATAGCCATCAAACAACAAAAGAATTCCGATTCAACTTACCCACGTACTCTCCGCCACCCGGTACTGTGTGAAAATAAGAAAGAAAGAATAATTGTATGCAAGGACATCAATTTCAATGCTTGAAGCAGTTGAAGGTCAACGCCATGGCAACCATATACAGTTTACATCCGATTCTAGTCTGAATCCTCATAACATGATAATATCTTCAGATGTCTAAAATTGACCAGTGAGTGGAAGTCCAGTAAGTCCATTTTTGTTTGTTTTGGCATCATTATGCACAAAGAACTCGCTCATTTTGAGTTGCGATATTGGCAACTTCTGAGCTTTTTCTGAAAATAAGGATGCGATTTCAGCAACTTTCACTGGTTTTGGCACGGTTGCGAAAAACAGAAGTTGCGAATTTGTTGGCATCTTTGGGAAAGGGCTAATGATAGCGGGTAGTGAACTAAAGCGGTTAGCACCAAGAAATGAGAGACTGTAGAGCTAGGGAGATGTTAACCCTACAATCAAGAGTCCATAACCCAAGAGTATGCAATTGTGATTATGGGTGCATGTGTGGGGCGCTACCTTCATTACGTAACTTGCCTTCATCACGCTCTGAAAGCATGCATTCAAACTCTCAATTTCTCGCACGAGCCCATCCGTTTTTGCTCGATTCGTTCCAGTACCTACACAATCTCTGAATTCTGGCGCGTGAACTCCAGTTCCGTACGAAAGTTCATTTCAAACTAGAGGGAAAGTGCGGTGTTTGATTTTCCGCAGTGCGCGGACTGCAGCTGAATGATGTAATGAAGGCAGCGCGCCGCGCGGTTGGCCCATAGAAAAGAGATCACAGTTGCATACTCTTGGGTTATGGACTCTTGCTACAATAGATACTGGTAGTTCTACTTGTCACACTATTTTGGCAGTACGTGCATTGAACTTACGGGCACCATATTTCACCGAGCCGACATTGGCAGCGTCTGCACAACAACAAAAAAACAAAGAAGTAAATCTCCATGATACGTTCATTAAAGATCGTATTGGGTGTTCTGTTACTATATGTTCCTAGTGTCATCTCTCGTGTCACGTTACAAGAAGAAAGTGTTGCCAATGTTGGTCAACTGGCAGATAATTGTCATTTTTAGGGTAGTTTGGAGGCGATCAAAAGAGTTCCGCGATCTACAACTTCGCTTGTGACGCCTCAATTCCACACAATCAAGTTGACAGTTAAAAGTTCGGCGTGGAGACAAGAAACCTATTATCGATGAAAGTAAACTGAGCGCACTCATACCACGAGAACAATGTAAACGATATTTCTGAGGATAATCACATGAACACGACATTCAAATCCTTAAAATATTGTCCCATTGTTCTCGTGGTGAGTGTGCTCACTTTACTTTCATCGAAATCAAGTAGACACGTCTTTTTATCGATGACACGTTTTCTTTTCCTTCACTCCAGGAAAGAACAGAGAATGTTGTAAATTTGGAAAGGCATTTAACTATGTCCAATTACTTGAAGTAGAAAAGAAAAGGAAGCGCTTCATTGATAATAGGAAGTGTCGACTTGATTCTGTGGATTTGCGTCTTTGCATTCTTTTTTTTACAACAAAGTAAGCAGCAGCACTCGGCCATTGGAAATGCTGCGTTACCTTCCATTGCGCTCTGATGGCGCTCGACCGCAGAGCGGCAGAGGGCGAAGGTGGTGATGATGAAGTGAACGGAGAATGTTCTTTTTTGGCCGAAATAATTGCACCTGTCAGCGACACAGGGCGAAGCTCACCTGATACTCTTTCTCTCTTTTTCTCTCTCTCTCTCTCTCTCTCTCTCTCTCGGATCTCTCTCTCTGTTTTTAGTGGATAAAAACATCTCTGGCGTTGATTGCTTTCTTACTTCGACTTCTGCCGCGCCTTTGTTCTCGTACTCCCCTTTATGTACAATTGTTGTGCAAACCCTCCTTTAATATTGTCTGTCTCATTTTGCCCTGAGATGTTTTGATGACTGAGTGATTATGACGCTCATCATTCGCTCCCTTGTCACTGGACAGTTCTCTCCGTTTGGTTTTAGCGAATTCAAATAAAGAAAACAACAACAAACATACTGTACATGTACATGTAGGTCATGATATTCGAAACGTTGATGTTGAATTGTTCATAATTTCCTTTTTCCAAATCGGCCGGCCGAAAAATTCGCCGAAAACAAAGTTTTTAAGAACCCATCGACCTTTTCGCCAAATATGCGATTTTCGCAATGAATTCGCACTGAATTCGCCGAAATTCGATGTGTTTCGTGTCTCTACAGCATGGAAACATAATTTCTGCGACCAATTTACTGCGAAAGGTGACTGCGACTTTAACCTAGTTTAGACATTTTGGAAATCGGTGTTCAGGAAAAGACGCCTAAATCAATGGCGGTTAAGAACTCGCCGAAATTTACCAATTTCGGACCGAATACGCAGAAAATTGGTCAATAGCGTACATGTACAAAGTAAATGTAAGTGTACAATGTACATGTACGTGTGTAAATTGTATCCTGCAAGCAAGTGGTGACCTCAAGTACACCTTTGAGCCGAATTCGGTCTTTCGGACTTATAATATGGCCGAAATTGGACAATATTATTCTTTTATTCCACGATGGCGTGACGTCAATAAGGATTATTGATAAGTGTGATAAAACTGATACTAGCCAGAAACAGCTAGATGGAAATTACCCGGGGAGGCAAGAAGCAATGAATCATGGAAAACAAGTGGGGGCAATAGCAGGGGTGATCGAGATAGTTTATTACACGTTTGAGGTATCAGAAACTAGGGGGAAGCGTGGATCAGGAACTCAAAAGAAGACTGGATGCCTTGTTTCGAAAAGAATTTCTACGAGGTTGGGTTGTGATGTCGATAGGCAGTGAATTGTAGAGGGTGAGGGCACTGTTGATAGAGAAATCTCGGTGCATGTTTGTGTGTGCGTATCTGATGGAGTACCGGGTAGGTTCTGGTCTGTCGAAGTGTGCATGGTTGGTGTTGACGTTGTGTTGCAAGATGAGGTTGTTGCAGGTGTGGTGGGCAGGTTTGGTGGTGGATGTCCCATGCTAGCAGGGCTTGTTAACATTGTCTAAGCCGATCGAAAAGCCAATTTGGCGAAAAATATCGGGTCGATTTGGGAAATTCTTTTTCATAACAGTTTGCGTTAATCATAGCTATGAAGTGTACCAACTACCTTCAAGTGAGAGAAAACACTTCATGAAGATCAACCAGTACAAAGCAGCACCTGGCATCACAACGGAACGTACCTCCGGATAAGGCGCAGATGAACAACGCTAGAAGAAATCGTAGGTGCTCAGCAGCCATACTTTGTTCTGAAAGTTTAAAGAACACACAAAATACAGGTCCTCCTTCGATAGTGCATGGAGATAATTTTCAGGCAATCAAAAGAAAGCATCTTCAACATTTAGCTACAGGACTTTTTAATGATACAAGAAGCATGGATTCATACCTTAATGACGTACCCTCAATACAGCTTAAATTATCCGCACTTTCCAATTAGAATGGACTCGGATAGAGAGCCAAAGACACATTTGTAGCAAAGAAAAGGGCCAATGAAGTAAGAGTTACGCTAACTACTGCTCTTTAAAAAGTGCGGTGTCACCGGTGATCTGCATGGACAATACTATCTTGTACTGAGAGTATGGCACTCCAGGAACATAAACAAAAGGACGCTAGCACGAATGCCATGTACAGTACTAACGAATCATGAAAATAAGAATTGTTTACTGATCAGACTGGTGATAAAGAGGAGGACAGATATATGGCAAAGCGACGCCTTTGTCTGGTCATGTGCGCGCGAAGTTCATGCCATGCGTCTTGCGTGGCGGTGGCACATACATTGCCTCAAACTGTTCAACATTTCACCCGCCAATACCCGGAAAGTGGAAAGGCGGAAAACCCTCAATAATTTCAACATTCTATCCAAGAGTGCACGACGTCCTCACCTTGACCTCCTGCCCACTCACACTGGTCCTTGTTTCCGCTCTACTCTACTACATTCCATCATCACCACGTGGAACTCCCTGCCTACCGAGGTTAGGATATCTAAAACCCGTGGTGTATTTAGCCGGCACATTAAGTCCCATTTCCACAGGTATAGATTCCATCCTCGAGGTTTTCCCATTAATCTTTTTATCTTAATATTTTCTTCCTTTAAAAATTGCACCATATTGTACACGTATTGTACACGTATATTTCTTTTCGGAGACCCCCTTGATTTAGGCTTCGGCCTTTGGGGAATCTCTCAAAAAAATTATAATAATAAAACACATCTAGCTGACTAAAAGCAGATCTTTTTATATTTTTTACCGGTATTATACGATATATTTTTCCCAGAACTAAGATACTTTCTAATGCGTTACTGTGGTCAAGATATTTAGTTCTGTCAATGAAAACACTTCATAACTAATAGAGCGTATATACATTTACGTCGTTGAAGCGTAAACACACAGAACAAATTAGAACCGCTTGATCTGACTGCTGATCGCCATCACTCTCGTCGCTCACTTTACAGCAACTAGTATTTCAATCAGAGTTACAAAGTGCCAAAGTCAATGGCGGTCGTACATGTATGAATCCCATATTTTTGGATATGGAGATATCTCTCTCCACATACGTTACGTTTGGACAAACTACACGTGTAGTTATATTATTTAAAGGATTTCCCAAAGGCATAGCTTATCGGGGGGATCTCCTAACAGTGAAAATGATCATTGATTTATATACTAATGAAGCGACTTGTCCACACAAATATAAGGTGAGATATCTAAGCATGTTTGAATCGACCTACACCTTTCAAGTATGTGGCTACATACAAATTCTACTTCACTCCTCTCCACATTCATGATCACTATACATGCTCACAACATACATACTGGTAATCGTTCTAATAGAAGATAGTCCGTACGTAATAGCCTCAGATCCGCGAGGAAACAACAACAACTACATTATAATATCGAGAAAAATAGAAAAATTAGAACTTGCCTTGTTCCAAGCGCTTTCCTTGCAAAGACGTGTGGACAACGAGGGAAGAAAGCAGCTGTGTCTTCGAGTCACTCTTTCTCCAGACTACTTGTTGATCATTCCTGCAATGTTGACTAGATAAGCGTGTCCAAACCGAAAGTTGTACGCCCGTCGAACCTGTTGTTTTTGGCACAATTTGTATACCACAATACAGTACTGCCCATCTCGCGCGCGTAATTTCGAAAAGCATTTCACCCCCCCCCCCCCCGCACACACACACCAACACCACCTTCGATACCCCAGATACGGTGAAGTACTCTATTTTTTTGTCTTTTTAGTAGTAAAAGCCTCTTTTACGGGCGAAGTACTCTATTACTCTATCAGTATACGATAATAGTACCAGGCGCATTCTACAGGTTATAACCTTTCATATTTCACACATAACCATGACATTTCCCGGAGCGTACCATTGTCGCACCCCCCCCCCCCCCCCCCCCCATTCCCAACCCCAATCCATGACATGATGCGTCGGTTCCCAAGTGGTTTTTCGATATGGTCATATAGAGGCGGGAATTCAAACCAGTCAACTTCGCTGTTACGGCATGTACAATAGGTAAAAGCTGAATTTTAATTTGTATTTGAAGTTTATTTATTTCCAGATTCCCTTGAGGTTGGTGGGCCTTTCGAGTTGTACGAGTTGTACTTAAGTACTTGTGCACCGTTCCACGCAACATGAATACAAGGTGAACTGTAATTTTTTTGAAGTACAATTTTTTTATTCGCACAGCAGAAAAGCAACCAATAGAAAATCACGTGAACTGGAATGCATCGAGTACGAAGTGATTTGGCTTTTTTAACATTTGGCATTTTTTAACAAATGTGTAAAATTTGCTTTTCTTCTGGCTGTTTCTCTGCTCCGGATGGCTGTTTCGAAACATGGGTGGTGGCAAATGAGAGCCAGTTTATCGTAGATCAACATTGACCAGAACATTTGGTGCATACAATTTAATTCCCCCTGCCACGTCGGTATAACTAGTGGTGGGTGCTTTGCCATTTGGTGTAAAATGTGTAAAATAAGCCACTGAATGGACGAGGAGGGCAGTGAATTGCTTCCGCAGGGCCTTTGGACGACGTCAGGCCGTCTTGCCATCACTAAAGACAATAATGAAGAACAGTAGGTAAAGGAATATACTCTGAGAGAACAAAAACATGGCTGCAATGCGATGCTAACTATCCAATTCTACCGTATGACACAGCCACTAATTACAAATACAAAAACACGGCTTTCGCCGCATACAATGCAGTTGACAGATTAATTTTTCATCCACTAGCAATCCTTGAAGTGATATCTATAAACTTCAGAACATTGATGACCGAATATCCTAGTTTGTGATGCCATTTTACAAATTTGTTAAAAAATGACATACCAATTATTTGAATCTTGAGAATACTATGAAAGTAGGACATGATTCAAGATACTTTCCAAAGTGGGATCATTCCCATTTTTTGAGACAATGGGCATGAAGGATAGCACTTCCACTTGCAACAGTTCATTTGGTCGTAGCTTGCCTAGAAGTGGCTGAAAAACGTCATTTTACAACCATGTTAAAAAAAGCCAAATCACCTCGTATTGCAAACAATTGTACAAAAAGATTAGCAATCCTAGATCCTGGCGATCGCCCGGGGAGTTTGCCGTCTTACCGTATGAGCACTCGAGCGCTGCCTGGAAAAACTCACTGTGAACTCGAAGAAATATTCCGCGCGAAAGCATGAAAAAATTGACAACTCACTGACGTCGGTCCTCGTACAGGACTTTGTCTTCGTCGGGTTTACAACAAACGAGTTCTTCCTCGTATCGATATGGAGTCAGAGAGGACATGTCGAAAGTCTGGTAAATTTTGACGAGCGGGATGCGTCCCAATTCGTTTTGTGACCAAATAGATTCATTCTTTGAGCTGCCGCGGATGCAATTTACTCTCACGATGTGACGAAAACGGCATCGACACAGACTCATTCCCAAGGCCTTGATGTGGCAAAGCTGTCCGTGTGACTTCGACGACATTTTGAGAAAAGCAGACGCCTGTGAAAGCTGATAGAAGACGGCGTTGACTCCTAAATTCAAATAAATTGGCGATCTTGAAATACGAAAATAATTCTCAAACAGAAATTGATCGATCGATGTGCCAGTGTATTCAACAACACGTAGCTACAGCGCAATGACTTCCGTGTTCACTCACACGGTTTCAGTGTTGTGTGTATTCACAACTTCACATGGCATGAGCCAGTCAATTGTCAGTCAGTTCGGCAGGAAACGCGAGCTCCCACAACAAGTCGTTTGGCGCAGACACCTTCTTTGTCGTCTTGTAATTGTACCAGCGTGATCACCAAAACAATGAAAAAATGAAGAACAAAATGTTTGACTTGAAGATTTGTTGGGATTTGAACTAACAACTACTTCATGGTCAGCAGACAGCATTCGTAACCACAAAGCCAAAAAGGAAGGGATAAATCCTGGGTTTTGATAACAAATCGATACTGGCTTCCAGGGTAAATTATAAACCATGGGAAAAGGCAAGAAACCTGGCCGAAATTCTAACTCCTTAACGGTTGATCCAATTGTTCTGAAACCTTCACAGAACAATTTGCCGTGCCCTAACAAGCCATTTTATGTACTTTGTTGTCCAAATTTCCCTTATCTTCATACTTATTAAGACCCAAACTTGATTGCTAATCTTTTTGAAATAGACTGTAGTTGGTCTACTCTGTCAACTATCACCAGTAGCCAGAGTTCATAAGCCGAAACATACATTATACCAAGAGTCCATAAGCCCGTAGTTATGAACTCTTGGTATTTTTTATATATACCAAGAGTGCATAAACCGGTTTATGTACTCTTGATTTACCGATAGTACTCTTGATTATCCATATATGGGGCCCTTGACAATACAATGATTCTCCTACTCTTGCTGCAATGCATGCGTCAGTGCATTCGGATCTGTACTCTGAGGCCACTTCATCGAAGCAGCGGAGGGTGGTGTTTTGGGTGGGAAGGGAGGGGGGGGGGGGGATAAGGAGAGGCCCCAGTTATCAATTGTATTCTATGCACCAAGCACTGCTGAACCTTACACTATGCGTACAGTATACAGCGGTACTCGTTTGCGCACCAATCTGAACTGAACTCGACCCGGGTTGAAATTTCTCATGTAAACACAGCCTATCTGGCCAGCTGGGCTAGATACAATCAGGGAGTAGTACAATACAGTATTGTCAAGAGTACATAAGGCCGTCATCACACCACGTTCTCCGACTCCCGTTTACGTCTACGTCTATGGTGAAAAAACCAAAACGGGTGGTCGTGTCAGCAGACAGGCACAGTTCTTGACGCGTACACGCAGTCAGGTTTTTGGAGAAATTTGAACCCACGTACATCGAAGTACAGGGTCGCTCGGAAAAAGGCTGGGGGAGATACGCACGTTCATACAAAAAGTCGTATACCCCCCTCTCCATACCACGTCCACGTCTCCCGTTTCCTCTGCTCCCGTTTTCACCCCATATACGGATCATCATGACAACCGACCAAAAACTCCTTACGTGGACGTAGACGCAGCGCTTTGTACCATGGTGTGATGACAGCCTAGGCCGTCATCACACCACGTTCTCCGACCCCCGTTTACGTCTACGTCTATGGTGAAAAAAACCAAAACGGGTGGTCGTGTCATCAGACAGGCACAGATCTTGACGCGTACACGCAGTCAGGTTATTGGAGAAATTTGAACCCACGTACTAGTACATCGAAGTACAGGGTCGCTCGGAAAAAGGCTGGGGGAGATACGCACGTTCATACAAAAAGTCGTATACCCCCCCCCCCCCCCCCTCTCCATACCACGTCTACGTCTCCCGTTTCCTCTGCTCCCGTTTTCACCCCGTATACGGATCATCATGACAACCGACCAAAAACTCCTAACGTGGACGTAGACGCAGCGCTTTGTACCAGGGAGTAGTACAATACCGGTATTGTACTACTCCCTGCTTTGTACCATGGTGTGATGACAGCCTAGCAGGGCGCGCTCACACTGCTGTACTGCGACCATGAGCACGCGTCCATGCGTCAGCAAAACGCAGAAACGTGGCAGTCGTGCTCACACTAGGCCTCGTACACGCGTAGACGTGAAGTTGTCACACAAACTTTACGAATAGCAGTTCGTATCCAAAAGAGTTCGTGCGTTTCCTAATAAAGTTGTGGCCCGTTTTGGATGTAATTTTTCGCACGTTGCATGTTGGAGGAAGTGCCTCGTGGCTCGTATTCTTGAAGTCGACGAAAATAAATCATACAATCAGGAAGGTTTGGACTCTTGAGGGACTGCCGCTGACAGCCAAGCGCTTTCACTTTCCTGACCTCGTGGTCAGAGCAAGTGCCAGTGCAGTGGAAATTCCGGTAGTGGTTTCTTTCGTCTTTTGCCGAGATGAGAACTGTATTTTCCGATGATATGTAACTGAAATGTCTTGAGGTATGGCATTCCATCATCGCAGAAAAGTAGAGAAAGATGATTTCCCAACCCGAAAAGCCAGACCAAGCTGCCATCGTATTGAACGAGTACACTGTAGAAATTGGTCACCAGTACTGGTCACTGACCTGATCACAAGGAAGCAACTACAAAAACAAAAACAAAATGACATCGTCCAAAAAGGGCAAAGAATGCATATATTATGGCGGTGCGTGCGTGCAGGACCATAACTACAAAATTTTAAAAATGTACAAATGTCGAGGATGACATCGACAACCGCCGAGTTTCATGAATCAACACACCGGAATTTGAGAAATTGAGCATACTTCGAAGTACTTCAGGCCAGGTTGTACACAAATACGCTTCACGTCTACGATCATGTTGCCGCCAAGTCGTGGCACCCCCCTCCGAAGGTCGCGGTCACGATTTGAAACGTGGCCGCGACGTTTTGGTCAAGTTCATGCCGTTGCCATGCAACTTGGCCGCATGGACGCTGGTTTTGGTCGCAGTGTGAGCGCGCCCTTAGCGGGGGTTATGTACTCTTGGTATTGTACTACATGTACTCCCTGGATACAATCTACTATTGTAGGCTGTGTTTACATGA